AGAGGATATTTTGTGCTTTATATGAATTTATTTTAATGATTTTTGTGGACGTTATATTTTAATGGTTGTTTTGACTTTCTATCTATTTAGTCTAGATTTTGATTTTATTTTGTCTCAAATTTTTATACCTACAACATTTGTTCTTACTATATTTTTACATTTGTGAATTTTGTGAGGTCATTTGATATTTTATATGAATTTATTTTAGTTACTTCCATAAACATTATATTTTAGGGGTTGTTTTCGTTTTCTATCTTTTTAGCCCTAGTTTGGATTTTATTTTTGTCTAACATTTTTCTATGTTCATATATCTATTTTTTTCTTTGCTTTAAATTTAAGAATTTTATGAGGTCATTTTGTTTTCTATCTAGATTTATTTAAATTAATATCTTAAATTTTGATTTTGATTTTAGTTTAAATTTTTATATATTCAACATCTACTATATTTTGATCTATTTTTCAAACTTTACAAGTTTAAGAGGTTGTTTGGTATTTTATATGAATTTATTTTTTTATTTTTGTTAACATTATATTTTTAGGGTTGTTTCGATTTTCTATGTGTTTAGTCCATATTTTTATTTTATTTTTTAATATTTATATATTTAATAAATATTCTTAATCCATTTTTTAAATTTCACAATTTTTTTGAGATCATTTGATATTCTATCTAAATATATTTTAATTATTTTTATAAATATTATATTTTTAGGGGCTCCTTTGATTTTCTATTTTTTTTGTCCAGATTTTGATTTAATTTTTGTCTAAAATTTTTCTATCTTCAACATCTATTTTTAGCCTATTTTTCAAATTTAAGAACTTTAGGAGGTCATTTGTTATTTTACTTGAATTTGTTTTAGTTACTCGTCATAAAAATTATATTTTAGGCACTTTAGGTTTTCCATCCGTTCATCCCAACATTAGGTTATATTTTTAGCAAGAAATTTTATATGTTCAATAAATATTTTTTTTAATATATGTTTTAAATTTTAGAAATTTAAGAGGTTATTTTTTTATCTTGATTTATTTAAGTTGTTGTCTTAAATATCGTATTTTGAGGGACTCGTTTTAATTTTTTATCTATTTAGTTTATATTTTGACTTCATTTTTTATTTAAATTTTTATATATTCAACATCTATTTGCTTTTTAATCTATGTTTCAAATTTTATAATTTTAAGAGGATGTTTGATATTTTATCAGAATTTATTTTAATTATTTTTGAAAACATTATATTTTTGGGGTTGTTTCAATTTTTCATATGTTTAATATAAGTTCTAATTTTATTTTTATGATTATTTAAGAATGATTATTTATTTGAGGGTGTAGAGGGCCATCCATTCTATATCTCAAAATCAATTTTAAACTAAAAAACTATCTAGAGAATTAGGGAGAGAGACCCAAAGTAAATAAGCTATTTCGATTTTCCATTTAATTAGGCAAGATTTTTATTTTATTTTTTTGCTAAAATTTTTATATATTTAACACTATCTATTTTTGTTCTATGCTCAAAATTTCATAAGTTTAGGAAGTTGTTTGATATTTTACCTAGATTTACCTATATTATTGTGGTAAATATTGTATTTTTAGGAGTTCTTTCTATTTTTCATCTTTTTATCACGTATTTTGTATTTAGTTTTGGTTTAAATTTTTATATGTTCAACGTCTATCTAGTTTTTTTAATCTATCATTTAAACTTTAGAATTTTAAGAACATACGTTGTATTTTATTTGAATTTTTATTTATTTTCATAAACATTATATTTTAAGGACTATTTTGATTTTCAATCTCTTTAGTCCAGATTTTAATTTTATTTTTCACTAAAATTTTTACATCTTTGACATCTATTCTTAGTCTATTTTTTAAATTTAGGAATTTTTGGACATCATTTGATATTTTATTTGAATTTATTTTAGTTTGTGGTGTAAACATTATATTTTAGGGCCGTTTTGGTTTTCTATCTATTTAGCCTAGGTTTGGATTTTGTTTTTTAGCTAAAATTTTTATATGTTCATATATCTGCTATTGTTCTAAGTTTTAAATTAATTTTATGAGGTCATTTTGTTTTTTATCTGGATTTATTTAAATTAGTATCTTTAATATTGTATTTTAAGGAGGTGTTTTAAGTTTTCATTTGTTTAGCCAAAATTTTGATTTTATTTTTGGTTTAAATTTTAATATATTCAACATCCATCTATGTTTTGATATATGTTTCAAACTTTATAAGTATAAGAAGTTGTTTGGTATTTTGTCTAAGTTTGTTTTAATTATTTTGGTAAACATTATATTTTTGGAGTGGTTTCGATTTTCTATTTGTTTAGTCCATATTTTGATTTAATTTTATTAATTTTTATATCTTCAATATATGTTCTTATTCTATGCTTTAAGTTTTATATTTTTTTAAAGGTCATTTGGTATTTTATTTGAATTTATTTTAGTAAATATTATATTTTTATGGGTTGTTTTGATTTTCTATTTGTTTAGTCTAGATTTTCATTTTATTTTCTATTTGTTTAGTCTAGATTTTGATTTTATTTTTCTTTAGCATCTATTTTTAGTCTATTTTTTAAATTGAAGAATTTTTGAAGATCATTTTTATTTTACTTGAATTTATTTTAAAAGCTGTGTTCATAAACATTATATTTTAGGGACTTTCGATTTCTATCTCGTTTAGCCTAGCTTTGGATTTTATTAAAATTTTCATACATTCAATGTATGTTTTTTTTTATCTGCATTTGAAATTTTATAATTTTAAGAATTTATTTTTTTATTTGGATTTATTTAAATTATTATCTTAAATATTGTATTTTTTAGGATATGTTTCAATTTTTAATTTGTTTAGCCCAAATTTTGATTCTATTTTTGGTTTAAATTTATATATATTCAACATCTATCCGTATTTTGATCTATGTTTCCAACTTTATAATTTTATGAGGTTGTTTGATATTTTATCCAAGTTTATTGTAATTATTTCTAAAAACATTATATTTTAAGGGTTGTTTCGATTTTCTATATGATTAATACAAATTTTGATTTTATTTTTATGATTACTTAAGATGATAATATTTTTAAGGGTGTAGAGGGCCATCCGTTCTACAACTTAGAACCAATTTTAAAGTAAACAAATATATAGAGAATTAGGGAGAGAGGCCTAAAGTAAAGAGGCTATTTTGATTTTCCATTTGATAAGGCTTGATTTTGATATTAGTTTTTTACTAAAGTATTTATATATTTAACGCTTATCTATTTTTCATCTATTATCAAAATTTCATAATTTTTAGAAGTTGTTTGGTATTTTGTCTAGATTTATTTAAATTGTTATCGTAAATATTGCATTTTTATTTTATTTTGTGTTTGATTTTTTATAAGTTCAATATCTATCTGATTTTTTTACCTATATTTTAAAATTTATAATTTTAGGAGGACATTTGGTTTTTTTATCATAATTTTTTTTTTATTTTCATAAACATTATATTCTTAGGCACTACTTTGATTTTCTATTTGTTTAGCCAAGATTTTGATTTTATTTTTGGTAGAAATTTTTATATCTTCAAAATCTTTGTTATGTGATGCTTTAAATTTAGGAATTTTAGGAGGTTATTTGTTATTTTATTTGAATTGATTTTAGTTATTGTCACAAACATTATATTTTGTGCACTTTTGGTTTTCTATCTCGTTTAGCCCAACTTTGAATTTTATTTTTGGATAAAATTTTTATATGTTCAATATATCTATTTTTATCTATGTTTTAAATTTTAAAAATTTAAGTGGTTATTTTGTTGTTTTTTTTTTAATCTAGATTTATCTAAATTATTGTCTAAAATATTGTATTTTTTAGGGACAATTCCTATTTTTCATCTATTTAGTCTAGATTTTGATTTATTTTTGTGATTATTTATTTAAGGGTGTACGGGCGGTCTCTTTTACATCTCAAAACAAATTTTGAAGTCAAATAATATCTAGAGAATTCGGAAGAGATACTCAAAGTAGAGGACCTGTTTCAATTTTCCATTTGATTAGGTTAGATTTTGATTTTTTTTTTTGATAAAATATTTATATATTTAACATCTATCTAGTTTTTAACTATTTTCAAATTTTTGTAATATTTTTTTTAAATTGTATTTTATCTTGATTTATTTAAATTGTTGATGTAAATTTTGTATTTATCGAGGTTGTTTCTATTTTTCATTTGTTTAGCCCATATTGTGATTTTATTTTATTTTTTAAAAACTTTTTATATGTTCAAAATCTATCTACTTTTTTTTTTATCTATGTTTTAATCTTTAGAATTTTAAGAGGCCATTCTGTATTTTATCGAAATTTATTTTATTTTTTCATAAATATTATATTTCAAGAGCCCATATAATATTTTTATCGAGGTTGTTTGGTATTTTATCTGTTTGGTTAAGATTTTGATTTTATTTTGTATGAAACTTTTTTATTTTCAACATCTAGTCTTAGTCTATGTTTTAAATTTAAGAATTTTATGAGGTCATTGGATATTTTATCCAAATTTATTTTAATTACTAGTGTAAAGATTATATTTGAGGGGCTATTTCGATTTCCTCTATGTTTACCCAAGCTTTGGTTTTTATTTTTAATTAAAATTTTTATTTTTTCCACATATATCTATTTTTTGTCCATGTTTTAAATTTTAGATTTTGATGATGCCATTTTTTACCTAGATTTATTTAAAATTTTTTCATAAATATTATAGTTTTAAGAGCTATTTCAAATTTTCGTTTGTTTATCCCATATTTTCATTTTATTTTTTATTTACATTTTTATATATTCAACATCTATCTGCACACTTGGAATTGGGAAGTTTATGGCAACATCCACAGACAACTCTTTAAAGCTAAGGATGAGGTTATTCGTAAAGAGATTGAGCTTACTACTAATGGCACAAACGATTCTTTATAGAGATTGACAGTGGAAAAGGCTAATTTGCATAGCATAGAGTTAGTGGGGATTGTAGATGCATTGAGTCACGATTTCGCAAATGCTAATCTAAATCGAAAACCAAATTAGTAACTTGATCAGGCTTGGTTGTTACAAAGGTATTTTGTTTATTCATGACCATCTGCTTCTGGTTTTCAAGCACAATAGCTGGCATTAGAGATGGAAGCTTCCATCTTGGAGTCTCAAAGGGTTGCGTCAATGGTGGCCAAGCTACTATGGATAGGGGGACTTCATCTTCTTCTTCGGGGTCATGGTTTTTGCTTGCTCGGGTACAATGAATTTTCAGATCCTATTCAAACATCCAAACTTTCTATATCTTCAATTAAGGGTTGCTTTGATTTTCTATATATTTAATACAAATTCTTATTTTTTTGTGATTATTTAATAGTGACTATTTATTTGAGGGTGTAGAGGGCCATTTGTTCTTCGTCTTAGAACAAATTTGAAAGATAAAAAAAAATATCCCAAAGTAGTGAGGCTTTTTGGTTTTCCATTTGATTAGACTTGATTTTGGTTTTTTTTATTTTTTATTTTTTTTGCTACATTTTATATATATATATATATGTTCAAAATTTCATAATTTTAGGAAGTTGTTTGGTATTTTATCTAGATTTATTTAAATTATGTTGTAAATAGTGTATTTTTATGGTTGGTTTCAATTTTTCACATGATTTTGATTTTATTTTTGGTTTGAATTTTTATAAATTCAACATCTAGCTCCTTTTTTTTTTTTATCTATGTTTTAAACTTTAGAATTTTAGGAGGACAATTGATATTTTATCTGAATTTATTTTAATTATTTTTATAAACATTAAATTTTTTACGGGTGCTTTGATTTTTTACTTGTATAGTGTAGATATTGATTTTATTTTTGTATCTTCAACATCTCGTTCTTTGTCTATGTTTTAAATTTAAGAATTTTAAGAAATTATTTGTTATTTTATTTTGATCTATTTTATGGACTTGTGATTTTCTATTTGTTTAACCTAGTTTCGGATTTTATTTTTGGCTAAAATTTTTATATGTTCAACATATATCCATTTTTTTTATCGATGTTTCAAATTTTAGAATTTTACATGGTTTTTCTGTTTTTTCATATGGATTTATTTAAATTAATGTCTAAAATATTGTATCTTTACGAGTCGTTTTCATTTTTCATCCATTTAGCCTAGATTTTTATTTTATTTTTGGTTTAAAGTTTTATATATTCAACATCTATCTCCTTTTTTATCCATATTTTAAAATTTAAAATTTTAAGAGGGAGTTTGACGTTTTATTTGAATTTATTTTAATTATTTCCATAAACATTATTTTTTAAGGGTTATTATGATTTTCTATAAGTTTAATACAAATTTTGATTTTATTTTGTGATTATTTATTTAAGGGTGTAGAGAGTCATTCCTTTTACATCTCCGATTAACTTTGAAATCAAATAATATCTAGAGAATTCTTAAGAGAGACCCAAATACGAGAGGTTGTTATGGTTTTCCATTCCACTAAGTTGTTTGGTATTTTATCTATATTTAGTTAAATTGTTGTCGTATATATTAAATTTTAAGGGGTTGTTTTGAATTTTCATCTGTTTTGTTGACATTTTGATTTTATTTTACATTAAAATTTTTTATATGTTCAACTTCCATCTCGCTTTTTATTTTTTTATTTTTATTATCATTCTTTAGAATTTTCAAAAGCCATTTTGTATTTTATCTAAATTTATTTTAATTATTTTTGTAAACTTTAAATTTTAAGGGTGGTTTTGATTTTCTATCTATCTAGTCTAGATTTTGATTTTATTTTTCACTAAAATTTTTATATCTTCAATCTCTATTCTTTGACTATGTTTTAAATTTAAGAATTTTAGATGGTCATTTGATATTTTATCTGAATTTGTTTTAATTACTTGCCATAAACTTTATATTTTTTGGGTCATTTTGGTTTTCTATCTCGTTTAGCCTAGATTTGGATTTTATTTTTGCCAAAATTTTTATATGATCTTATATCTATTTTGTTTTTCTATTTTTTGAATTTTAGAATTTTACTAGTCATTTTGTTGTTCATCTAGATTTATTTAAATTATTATCTTAAATATTGTATTTTTAGGAGATGTTTCAATTTTTAATCTGTTTAGCCCAAATTTTGATTTTATTTTTGGTTTAAATTTCTATGTATTCAATATCTATTTGTATTTTGATCTATGTTTCAAACTTTATAATTTTAAGAGGTCGTTTAGTATTTTATATGAATTTACTTAATTATTTTCATAAATATTATATTTTAGGGGTGGTTTATATTTTCGATGTGTTTAGTACATATTTTTATTTTATTTTTAAAGATTTTTATATATTAAATATCTATTTTGAGTAAATATTTTAAATTTAAGGATTTTAGGAGGCCATTTGATTTTTTATTTGAATTTATTTGAATTATTTTTGTTAACATTATATTTTTAGAGTTGTTTTGATTTTCCGTTTGTTTATCGAGATTTTCATTTTAATTTTTCTAAACTTTTTTATATCTTCAACATCTATTTTTAGTCTATTTTTCAAATTTAATAATTTTAGAAGGTCATCTACTATTATACTTGAATTTATTTTAGTTACTCCCATAAACATTATATTTTTGAGACTTTTGGTTTTTTATTTGCTTAGTCTAGTTTAGATTTTATATTTGGCTAGACTTTTATATATCCAACATATATTTTTTTTATGTACTTTTTAAATTTTATAATTTTATGAGGTAATTTTTTCATCTAGATTTATTTAAATTGGTGTCTTAAATACTTGTTTTATAGGGTCCATTTCAAAGATTTTAACTTTATTTTTTGGTTTACATTTTTATCCATGTTTCAAATTGTGGCGCCCCTAGCTCCCTTGTCGATTACCTAAAAGGCGTGGCTAGGTGCACCACAATTTAGAGACCGAAGTCTTAAATTTAATCCCATACACATACCCAATATACTGAATATCATTACAAAAATTACAAAAATATAATTTACAAGCAAAGGTAGATCCTATAATTGTCGTGTCACACATGAGCCTTTTTCGAGAGGAACCGATAGCTTCATTATCGGCATTAGTATCATCTTTACTTGCTATCGCATGAAATAAACACGAGTGAGCCGAAGCTCGGTAAGTAGGGTGATGCACATGATATGCAATGATTTTCCGACTTCTCCCATTTTGACTCATCCAATTTTAATTCGGATACCCCGAGTATTAGTCGGTCTACTCTATTTTTAATCTAGGTGATGATCGATTCACCTTCCGCTAATAACGAATTATCCCTCGCTATAGCCACTCGTTAGCGGGAGTCCATCATCTAACGGTGAAGGCACACGACTTAGAGTAGTCTACTCTATTTTTAATACGAGTGATGATAGATTCACCTTCTGCTAACAATAAAATTATCCCTCGTTATAGCCACTCGTTAGCGGGCATTCATCGTTTAACGAGTGCGAGCACACGACTTAGAGTATGCACACAATTGGACCGCTAATACTCCTTTTTATCCAATAGGTTATCAAATCTATGCAAATTTCATTCGATTCGGTTACCAAACCTCATCGCTTTCAACTCAATGGTTTTTCTCAATTTAATCCATTCCCATATACATATGATGCGGGTGATGTATCATGAATCACATTCCACCAAGTCATGGGTACTAAACCCATCGATTTCATACCATTAAGTTCACACAAGGAATTCAAAACCCATATAATAGGGTTAATCTATTTCATGTATCATGAATCATATTCCATATCGATACAAAGAAACCGTTTTGGAACTCAATTTCTAAAAGTTGGGTTTAAATCGAGTGTCTCCTAATAAAATTTAAATTTCTATTTTTTTAGGATATAAAATTTTTGCACTTTATTTCATACCTATTTAAGTATATTTAAACCATTGATTTATAATTTGGGTGAATGATATTCAAAACCCGAGTTCTAGTGTTTTTGGCCAAATGGTTCAAATAGGGGCAAAGGTTTATCTTTTGTTCTTAAGTCATTTCTTTACATCTTAATATACTAAATTATACTTATGTGGATTACCTTGTAATTCTAGATCTTTAGGTCCATAAATATAAATCCAACTTGATAATTTTAGTACCAAGGTCTACTAAGTGTTCTTAGGATATCCAAGCCCATTTTGTTTTAAACCAAGTCCATTTGATTTAATCCAAGTCTTTTTGTTTTAATCCAAGTCCCATTTTATTTTATTTTAATCCAAGCTCATCTTGTTTTAATTCAAGTCCATTTGTTTTAGTCCAAGCCCCACTTTATTTTAATCCAAGTCCATCTTTTTTTAATTCAAATCCATTTGTTTTAGTCCAAGTCCCACTTTATTTTAATCCAAACCCAACTTGTTTTAATTCAAGTCCATTTTATTTTAACTCAAGCCCATTTTGTTTTAATCCAAGCCCATCTAGTTTTTAATCCAAGTCCTATGGTTTTAATCCAAGTCCAATTATTTTAATCCAAGTTCATTTATCTTAGTCCAAGCCCATTTTATCTTAATCCAAGCCATCCACACATACATCATCCAACCCACATGATTGTCATCAAACCAAACCCATTCACACATGCATAAACATCCATCACATATGTATCTTATAAGGATACATCAACCTGCTAACCATCCATCATCATACTTGTGTATCACAACAGAAAATCCACTATGAAATGCCACATCAAAACAACCATATGAGATCTATCACAACACCAAAAAATACATCATCACAAGACCATCATAAATCCATATTATATGGATTAAAACAAAAACCCATAAATCAAACATGTAAAAGAGAACTTAAAGCATAAATAAAACTAAAATGATATAAAAAGAAACCTACGTACGATGATGTGTGTTTTGTTAAGATTTCTTAGTCTTTTTCTTCTCTTTCTCCTTCCTTTCTTTCCTTTCTTTTTCTCCTTTCTTTCTTCCCTTTCTTTTTCTCCTTTCTTTCCCTCAAAATCACGTTTTTCTCTCTTCTATTTGAAGGGTACGAATTTTTGGCTAAAAAGATTGGCAAAGTTTCATCTTTTCATCCAATTTTGATACCACACTTTTCCTTTTTTTATTTCTTTTATGTTTAATATGCCAAGTGTCCAAATTTTATGGCGAAAAGAAGTCAATTGATGGAGACAAAAAGAGAGACAAGTTGGAGTGTTTAACTTTCCAAAATTGAGTGGGAAAGTACAAATGGAAGTATGGTGGAAGATTTTATATCACTTCACTAACTAAAGAGACAAACTAAAAGGTAA